CTGAACACGTCTTCTGGCTCTGAGACAACTAGTGCGGAGAGTGCTAAGTGCCTCGTTCCACTAGTAAACTGAACGCCGTCTGTTATTTGGCTCCAGTTTCCTCGGCATGGTCGTGTCACATGCTCTCACTAACGTTTCTGTCAGCTCGTCCGCGTTTAGATCTGCGGGACTCCTGTCCACACGAAGTGCCTCAACGAAAAGATCCTTGTCGAAAGCCTTCGTCTTCCACTCCCGGTCACAAGTTCTCGTCATATTGTATCGCCTGATGGTCGCTATGGGTATATCTTTCGCACACTCTCCAATTCATGTTTGCCACCAGCGACGGACTGCAGAAAGTAACGTCGATAATGGATTCCCGGCCATCTCTGCGAAAAGTGCTGCTGGTGCCTTTATTGGCCAGCATAACTTCCAGTTTTGCCAGAGCTTCCAGCAGACTGCCCTCTTGCATTGGAACACCTGCTTCCCCACTCCACTGCCCGAGCATTGAAGTCTCCTCCGATGACGACCGGTCTTCGTCCGATCAGCTCTTCGGTAAGTCCATCCAGCATCTCATGGAACTTCTCTATCGTCGATCTGGGGGGAACGTAACAACTACACATGCAGATTCCGTTGATTTTGGCGATCTCGCATCTCTTGCATTTCCTGCACAGATCAGATCTGTCAGGGCCATTGCAGTTCCTCGCCTGGTGACCGAATCCCATGCACTTGAAGCATCGCTCCAGTTGCTTGGTAACCCGAGGAGTGGCTTTCAGCGAGCACACTGACCAGCCAACCTTGACCTTGCCCGTCTCCAACAGCCTATTCGCTGCAACTGTCGAAAGCCGTATCACCGCCGTTTGCATGCCGCCGTACGCCTGCCTCAACCGGATTGACATCGTGATCCCTCCCAGATCGCAGTGCACTCTCAACGCACTTCTTAGCTCCTCTTCTGTGGTGATCTCGTCCAGATCTCTGCACTCGACCACTGTCTCCTGGGATAGAGCTCTTACGTTCGCTCCTTCGCCAAGAGACTTTTCGACGAGCTCCTTGAAGGCTGAGCTCTTGATCGCAGGATCCTTCTTCAGCTCAAAGAGCATCTCGCCTTTCTGGGTGCGCCTGGTTTTCACCTCGTTCTTTCTATTTGCTTCAACTCCGAATCCTCTCAAACCTTCCGGAGGAGTGCTGCATACGACGTTTTGACTTTAGCTTCGACGATCAGAGCATCGCCCTTACTTCGCTCCCAACGAGTCCTGGGTATCTCCTTCTTCTGTTCAGCTTTCTTCTTTACTTCTTTTTCCTTCCGTTTTTTTCCACTTCTCCTTCGGCTTCTCGACGGTACGCCATCCTTCCTTCTTGTTGTCTTCCTTGTCGTTCTTGTCTTTTTTCAACTCCTCTTCCTCTCCTGGCGTTTCCCTTTTCCTCTTCTCCGAGCGTGGATTTCGAGATCCCTTTGGTGTCTCCTGTATTTCAGCTGATGCTTTCTCCTTGGCCTCGATCAGCGCCCTTTCGGCAGTCACGGATCTCGTCCTCAGCGCATCCTGTTCACGTTCGGCAGCAATCATGGCGGATTTGATGCCCGTCACCATTTCCTTTATTGCCTTGTGGACGTTGCTCTTATCCTTGAAGAAGTCATGGAGTTCATTGATCCTCCTCCTCACCTCCACCAATTTGGTCTTCCAAAGCTGCAATCCTTCTTGGGGTGTGCTACTGCTGGATTTCGGTGTGAACATCTGGCTTAGCATAAGACCTAGCTCTCCTTGGTGTCCTTGCTGCTCACCTTGGGGCTTAGTGCTGCTGCTGGAACTCGCTGTGGCCCCCAGGTTCAACACTGGTGATCTCTGCAATATCCCGCTTCTTGAGAACACGTTCGCTCCTCCGTTTTCACTTTCTGGCGTCTTGCCGTCGTCCTTCATATTTTTTGGGTTTTCTCATTTTCTACTTTTTTGTTTTTTTCTCCGTTTTTCTCTATTCTGTTGGGTCCCCCCTCCGGGCCGCTATCTCCACTCGTTGTATGTAGTCGCCTATCGTGATCCCATGGTTATCTATGCAAGCAGGGAGGCCATGCTAGGGTTGACACGGTCCTTCATGGGGCCGTGTTCAGAGCCAGATCAGCGTAAGTCAGGAATGTTACATCTGAGCCTACTACTCACCAACCACCAATTAGTGACAAGTTTTGAACGTATCCGGAGGGGAACGGGACGGGGGCAGCCGCATTATTAGCCCACTCGTCATTTCAAGAAGGTGTCACCCTTCTTTACTCAGGGAGCAGAATAGCACGACTGTCAGCCCTGTAGCGTGGTATCCAATCCATTGTGCTGTGTCGTGTCCATTATTCCATGCCGTGTCCAGTATGCCGTAATTATGATCTTACTGGTACCGGTTGGAACTCCTGCGGGTTGACGAAGCATTTCCTCTATCGTCATGCTATGGTTACCGCGCCAGTGTTCGCGTCGCACCCCCTCACTTTGCTATTGTCGAAAGGACAACATTGCCCAGGCTACACCACGGGGAGGTGTTAGGTAGGACTTGTGAGGACCAGAGCTAGGTAAAACGCTCTTCCCAGGTTGTCAACTCACCATTTGTAGCCCATGTCTGTGTGTGTGTGTGTGTGTGTGTATATATTCCCTCTAGCCCCCACTGGCCGGCAGTGTTATTATGGAAGAACTCTCTACAATGTCGCATTTCTGGTCATTGTAGACAGCTTTAGTCCGGGAGTTAGAACGTGATAGCTCTATTGCAGATCCAGCAACCCATTTCAGATTGTCTGGAGAGTCACGCCCATTCTGAGGATACTTTCACTTACAATAAGTCCCGCATGTATGCATCACCGTTATCAAATGGATATTGGTTATATATAAACACTTCCAGATTCAAAAATTTTTTTTTTTTCGAGCCCGGCATGTATTTAGTTTAATTTTGATATTAATTTTTTTTTTTAATAATTGGAAAGCTCTCACCATATTCTGCTCTTCCGCCGTCGTTATTGCTTCTTTTGGAATCCTTTGGACTTTTTCTCTAACGCTTCATGTTTCATTCCGTGCTTCACCGACAATTTCCTTCCGTAGATCGTCCTTGGTTGGTTCTAATATGATTCCGCCTTTTTTGGTCGGTTTCATGTCCACCATCTGTCATTGAATTTCCATGGTGATCTGGGACGAGGCTCACATCCAAAATCGCTGGTCCACCGGGCGCTCCGTGTGCGAAAAGAGAATAAAAGAAATACGAAAAGGATCAGTTTCAAAAAGTGACAGTTTCATCAGATTCCCCAACTAGCCATACTCAAGCAAAGTAAGAATATACAAGCTATATTGCGACTATATGGTTACTTGGGTACACATATGGCCGTCAAAATGGTTTATCGGTTGCGAAGTGAAGTATTTTTGAAAGTGATGCTTTATATTTCTCAATGTTTTGATTTTATCCTAACGTTACCTCACATTTTCCTTTGCCGAGAATAAACAAAATAACTGTCAGAATGAAATCGACCACTCTGTTAGGTGCGCATGGTAAACTAACGTGCTACTTAGCCAAGCTAAAACGAAACTAATGTTTTTCCTATACCTAATGCATTTTGATATGGAAGGAATCATTTCTTTCAATGTAAAATAGATTGCCGTTAGTGCAGTGTTAGACCCCCGTCCTTCCCCAAAAGAAAACAACTATTACGGCCTATATAGTTCATACGGCGAAATGGTATTACCGGTTCGAACCGCGAAATGGTTTTTGTTATGCAGACGATACATGTGTACTTTTATATTCGACCAGAATATTTCGCCTGCCGCAACTCTACTTTTTTTTATTATTGACTATTTGATTGTCTGCCAAAGTTTGCAAAGATAGTCTATTCCCGATAGTCTTCGCTATTAGGTAATTCCAACAAAATGCAGTTCTTATGTAGCATGATAACGAAGACAACAAATCAAGAAAACTGGCAACGTTGCCAGAATCCAAGTGACAGATACAGTAGCGCTGCACTTGAGTGAAAGTGGAAGCAACGCATAGAAAAATGAGCAAATACACAAACCTTTCGTCTGAGGATGTAATCTTTGCTATCAAATTCGTTCGAAGCATTTACCTTTGAGCGGCAGATGACGCGATTGTACCTGTCTCATAGCGTTTGTATGAGAAAATTGAAGAGTTGCCAGTCTTCTTGATTTGTTGTCTTCGATAATAATCAGTATGAAAAGAAATAAACTGTCCAGTTTTTTACTTATTTTCGCACGAAACCCTTAAATTCAAGCGTATGATTCTTTCACTTTTGCTAACAGAAACCTTGCGCCAAATATCGCACATAATTAAGGGGTTACATAAGTATATGTAAAAATCAACCAAAAAATCGATTTTTTTCAAAAATGGTCGAATTCGATTTGTATTAGTATTAGTGAACACGCGAACCGTTAAACTTGCAAAGCGTTTTTTTCGAAACACAGAGTTGATTTACGGGTCCCACTATATCTCAGGACTGGATGGACAAAATTGGCTGAAATTTGGGGTGAAGACTCACAAGATGTATCCCGTGTGCATGACTTAATCGGATTTTGAAAATTATGTTTTAAAATACAAATAAAAAACTGACGATTTTAATATGAAAAAAACATAAAAATAGGGGAAATAGCTCTACTGTTGGCCTTTGGATCTAAGATTGCGCCCATCGCTAAAAATCTCATTTTTATCAATTTTATCTAGATGAACGCGTCATTGGGACGGTACTAGTGGATATTTTTGGTCGCTATTGAAAATTTAGTCGATTGCTGAATTTATGTATTGGCCCAAATTAGGGGCATTTGGGCCGACATTACACCCATTTCCCCTATGGATGTATTTTTTTAAATCCACTTTTCAAAAATCGGCCTTTGTCATGCCCACGGAACCTGTCACCCCAAAAATGAGCCGGTTTGGTCAAAGCAGTGATGAGATATCGTGGGACCCTTTTTTTCAAACCACTAACTTCAAATAAGAATATCTCATCAATTTTGTTACCAAATGTCTTCATATTTATTTTTATTTTTACCTATTTACAGGTAGTCCAAACGTATGGTATCTAGAAATTGAGCTACCTCAGAATGTTGCCATTTCCTACCGGTATCTGATTTGCTCGATCGATCCAACCAGCGAAAATGTACATGTGCGACGCTTCGAGACCCACATCAACCCACGGACCATTCCGATCGATAGCGCACCAAGTCAAGCGGAGCAGACTTTGAAAATTGACACTCTCGGTGATATTGATGGATCGATTAAACTAGACAGAGGCTGGCTGACCAGCGAGACAATAATACAATTTAAACTCTTTGACAACCCTTTTTCTGTAAAGGAGAGAGTTAAAAATCGACTACTGTATGTGAAGGTTTGTATAAGGAGTGTGTTCGAGTTATTGACAGCACCAACATAAATGGAAACTTATTCTTCTTGCTAGATAACACCTATGAATCTTCGTATCAATGCGGAAACCCAAAATCTAACGACCCTGCTGGATGAATCGCTATCTAGTGATACTAGAGAAAATGTAACCGAACATCAGGGCTATGCTTTTACTGAGGTAGTATCCATGGGGAATCAGAATGCAACATTTGAACAGCAGTACCAATTTGGATGCCCATATCACCAGGAAGATTTCATGGTATTTAATGTGACAGTGGCAGAACCAGAGAATGTGGCCTATCTAGTTGACCTGTATACGTACAGCTCTCGTTCCAAGGAGAGCGAACTACCTTATCATTTGGGCTACCATTATATCTTACCCAACCTTTTAAAGAAATCCGAAGGAGTTTTGGAGCTTCCAGTGACATGTGCTAACAAACATCGTCCACTGGGGATGATGCGTATCGAGTACCTGAAAATAACCCCATTACTTCCATCCCGGTGTACTCTGGAACGATCTTACATTAGATACTGGAATAAAAGATGGACTGGGCTTGACGTAGGTCATCGTGGTTCAGGGACTAGCTTCAAAGCAAGCGATGGAAATTTAATACGAGAGAATACAATCGCTTCATTGAAAAGCGCCGTCGCCCATGGTGCAGATATGGTTGAATTTGATGTACAGCTAAGCAAAGACTTGGTACCGGTGATCTACCATGATTTCGATATTTATGTCTCGCTAAAACGTAAAACAAGCCTCGAGATTAATGATATGTTGGAGTTGCCGATGCGTGAATTGACGCTAGAGCAGCTTAAAAATCTTAAGGTAAATTCTTGGTTCTCATTGACATCACATTCTGTCCAAACCATTGCAAATTAGTCACAATCGAAAGTATTTTGTGTGTAATTGTTGCTCTCTTGAGCGCAGGTCTACCATGCCGTAGAAGGTAGAAATCGTGAAGCAAAGTTCTTCGACGAGGATCTAGAAGAACATCAACCATTCCCACAGTTGGCCGACGCATTGGAACTGATCGATCCAAACTGTGGTTTCAATATCGAAATCAAGTGGTCCCAGAAACTCAAAGACGGCTCTATGGAATCAGAATTAAATTTCGATTCGAATCTATACGTTGATTGTATTTTAAAAGTCGTTCTAGAGAAAGCTGGCGACCGGCGGATTGTTTTCTCTTGCTTCGACGCCGACATTTGTACAATGTTACGTCTCAAGCAGAACCTTTATCCGGTAATGTTCCTCACTCTGGGTGTTACCAGTCGATATCCGAGCTACCACGATCCACGCTGTAATTCGATTGAGATGGCAGTCAGGAATGCCTGCGCTACCGAACTGCTCGGAATCGTCGCGCATACTGAGGATCTGTTGCGTGATCAAACTCAGGTAAGCTACACACGATTTCCTGAGGAATCTCACCTACCTATTACGTTTCCGTCTGCAGGTTAATCTAGCGACAGAAAAAGGATTGATCGTCTTCTGCTGGGGTGATGATAATAACTGCAAAGATACGATCAAGCATTTGAAAAGCCTTGGAATCCACGCCATTATCTACGATAAGATGCACGAGTACTCTGATAAGCCTGTCAAAGTAAGTATTGAAGATTGTTTCGAAATGTGTATATACTTTGTGTGCGCTTTGTAAAAAAAACACTGTTTTCCGTTCTCTTAGGTTGTGTTATCTGTCTTTTGGTTTGCTTGTTTTATGTGTTTTTGATACAATTAGTTGATACAACGTATGTAGTATCTACTGAAATTTCTACCCGTTTATATAAGTGCTTCTACAATAGACCTGTGACATACCTTATTTATGTTTTTCCTTTCTCATGGCGCTTACAGCCCAGCTGGAACTTTACGTCTGCTCTTATTCTTTAAGTCCTTCTATCAGTTGTTAATTGAGAGCCTTCAAATAATCGAGAGATGTCATTTTTTTACCAGAGCTGTTACGCCCTAATTCCAGCTCTATCTAGATTTACACCAGGCCCGTGTTCAGTTAATATTATCTGTAATCAAATTGATTTCATTAAAAGCAGGATTAGATTTTGCATTCATTTTTACAGTGGTGGTAACCGTTAAGTCAACCAAAATGGTAATCCAGTTGTAAGGGAAATGGATGTAATGTCGGCCTAAATGTCCCTAATTTGGGCCAATACATAAATTCAGCAATCGACTAAATTTTCAATAACGACCAAAAATATCCATTAGTACCGTCACAATGACGCGTCGTCTAGATGAAATTGATAAAAATGAGATTTTTAGCGATGAGCCCAATCTTAGATCCATAGGCCATCATTAGAGTCATTTCCCATATTCAAAATAAATTCATCATTACTTCACATTTTGATTTCTATTTGATCTCCAGCTTTGCTCAGATAGCCATGTAAACAGTTGATCGGCATTTGGAAGAGAGATAAGGATAATGGTTGATGGTCGACAATGATGCAGCAAAATGAAAACACTAAAACCGTACATTCCTAACACCGCGGAGAATCGCAAAGAAAAACCCTGAACTAATCCACCTATGGTGAGCTCTGACCCTTTTTATCGATAGAAATTCCGAAAAAAGCGGTCAGATGAATTCTCAAGTGATTGATGGATTTTGACCCTATTTAGGCAAAATAGTGTCCAAATAGGACTCAAAAATATTAAAAATCGTTCTATGGGACAATGATACCTTTCATTTGGCGGTTGTTGCGTCCAATTAGATTCAGTTGTTGCTGAGGAACACGATAAGAATTCGTTACACAAACACAGACATTTTCTGATCTTGCCTCGCTGATTCGAATGGTATATGGCACTTGGCCCTTTGAACCTCGGATCGAAAGTCGGGTTTCCGATGTATATATATATATATATTCTTCTAAGAAGGGTAAGAAGATACAAATTATTTTTTTGAATGGTAACATCATGAAAGAACACATAAATTTCAAATACCGAATAAAAATAAATATAATTTCAACACCCGTCTAAATAAACAAGATGAATCAATGATAATAACTGCTTAAATTTCAAAAAGAGGCTCAGACGTTAGATAGCTTTGTCAATTAAGGCACGGTATTACGAGCCGGAGGTGGCGGTTTCGATTCTCGATCCAGTCTAGAACAAAAGCCACTTAACTTCAAGTTTTGCTAAGTTTAAAATTTAATTTAAGTTCATGTGTCATTGAACTAACGATTATTGTTTATTTGTTTTGTTTAACACATTTTAGGTCATTCGTGACTTGTCCGGGTGAGATTTGAACTCAAGTATTTCAGCGTGAATAGCATGTTTGTTAACCATTTACGCCAGGCCCGTATTCAGTTAAATATTATGAATGCAAAATCAGTAATCAAATTGATTTAATTGAAAGGAGGATTAGTTTTCCGTTAGATTCAACAGTGTAATATTGTGCTCTCATTTTTGCTATGTTAACCGTAAACCAAAATTAGATCAACTGGAATATTCAAAATAAGTTACAGCATAAGGGCACATTTTGATTTCAATTTGATATCCAGCTTTCGAGCCCATCGATAAGAACCCATAGAGAAAACGATCTCCAATACTGTTTTCTCAGCTTGCTGTTTTAACGAATGGGACAATTATGTTGAAAAGGGCTGTGCAGTACATTTTAAGAACTACCATTGCATTTGTTGCAAAGATCCTACACACATAAAATTCTACACATTTTTATTGGTGAATTTCCATGTAAAATTCCACATGATTTTCATGTGTCCACACATAAACAGAATCCAGTCAGAAGTACATGAACATTATGAGAGTCAAATGAATAGTATGTGTGGTTACACATGGATTTTATGTCTACACATAAGAACTATGTGTCCGACACATATATATCATTTGTTTCTCAAATTGCAAAAATTCATGTGTGGGACACATAAATATAATCATTGAATTTTTCTCAGTGTATACAGATGATGTAAGAAATGCATTCTAACATTTCATGTTCATGCCATTTGCTTTGCGTGTATTCATCATTCTTTAAGTAATCTACCCTTGGAATGCTTGAAACACATGATTTACACAATTCTTAAGCTTACCAAAATTTTAATATTCTTAACATTCTTAACGTGACTTTCTCCTATGCCTCCATGTCAATGAATTAAATGACGATGGAATGAATTTCTTGAATAATTTGCGAAGAAGAAACTCTCGGAATACGCCCCTTTGGCTTGTCACCCTTGGCGGGAGCTATATTTCCACACCCTCGCTACGTCCCTGCACTGTGTGATCAACTTTTTTTTTAAATTCCAAACCTGCCACTTTAGAGCGAGCGCTCGCACATAGTCATATTTAGTATAGGGAAAACGCACCTATAGTGGAGGCACGTTAGTGCAATGTGTTCCTATAGTGGCTTATGACGAAACGAAAATTAATTATTTTATTCATGTGTTTTACTTATACATTGTTGCCAAAACATCAGCGTTATACATTTCATAAGACAAACCACATAGTTTCTGTAAGAAGGCATAAACGGTAAGTGTGACCATTAAGCATTTCATTTGACACAAGGTCTTCATTTACTTTTTGCAAGGCGCCTGCTTCTTAGTTGACTTAAATCAACAATAGAAATTTGCCAAAAGTTGTAAGGGGTTTTCTATCCGTGTCATGAACACGTTGCACTAACGTACCTCCACTATAGGTACGTTTACCCTAGTATCATGTTTGGCAAATGCATAAGGGATTAATGCGCATTTTACCTAAGCTGCATCGTGATTTACTGTTTCGCTTCAAATCATGTTCACAATCAGCCATTTATATATAATTGCTTGCAGTCGTTCTTTTGCTTGTTCTAAATTGTGAATATATATTTTTTTATCTTTCGTCGTTAATTATATGATGATTTGGTATTTCAAGAGTTTAGGAAACAGTTACATGCTAATATATTGTCTGCTATCATCACAGTTCTATGAAATTGTCTTGCCTTCTCATCTCAGCTATTCGATGCAAAAATATGTGATAGTCGTTCTAAACGACAAAATTCGGTTACCATTAGAATATTTTGAAATCATTCTTCCAACGTATGCGGTCACAGTCCGCTCATTGCACGTAGATTTGTATCTTCCAAACAACAGACTTATAATTGCCGATCTTGCGATTCCATCATGTTTTTCTTTTCTCTCTTCCGACGCCCTGTCATTCCAGGTGGAGGGTCAAAATGCCGATTCTAGTCAGCAAAGTTACTCAAGGGGCTAAATATATTTATAATATAATTGTACACCGTCATGTTCCGTCATGTTGCGTTTCTAATGTGTCTATTGATGTGATTATATTGTAGGAGAGGAGATCCCAACCGAAGAGGCATCGATTGGAGCGAAAGCTTTCATGTTTTTGTGGTTTCCTACTTTCCGATGGCCGTGACAATATCTAGACTATGATCTATAGTTTTGAGAATTTATGTTGTCTGTTCCTAAGTAACTTTAAATTTAATACTATCTATGAACTCGATCTCTTCAGGTAGTGGCTTGTTGTAAAACGTCCCACATTGTAGTTTGTTTCTGCGGTGTTTTGTAAAAGATATTTATATCTGTTACTTTAACCATACATACCGCAAACGAAGGCCAACAGGCTACCTAAATGAAAATTATTTGATTATTTTTTGTAGGAAAGTGTATTTTTAGTGGGTGCTCGCGAATCACAGGCTGCTTTGTTGCAGCAAATTGATATTGAAAACCGCCACGAGCAAATCATCAACCAACATGATTTAGTCGTCCAAAGCAAACCGGGAAAGGTTGCTTCCGTAGATGTGGCTTCGAATTCGTCACTGTTACCAAAATCCGCTGATTGAATAACGTTTGGCCCCGAAAAAAGGAGAGGTAATAGATTGTTACAATCAAGAGATAAATCAACACCGTCGTAAACATTGTATCTGTCAACTACCGTCTGATGAAAATATCCTAACTACAGTCGTTTGGCAAACCATTTAACCTTGTAAAGAATTTCGAATTTATCCAGTATAACAAAAAAAAATATTTATAAGTATTGTTCTTTTTCATACCTATTAACTGTTGTTGAATGCAATCAAGCAAAGGCTATTAGATGTAATATTTCATAGTTTATGATACACCCTAGAACATTTACCAACTGCTACCAGATAGTTTTGTGTTTCTGGTTACGATCACCGTGACATTGATATCATCGGGCTTGAATTGAAATTTTTGGTGAAATTTAATTTAACTACGTTTACGTTTAGACTTACTTATTTTTCAGTCATCCGAAACATAACCGCAATAAACATCCAGCTAAATCATCGGAAAATATCAAATCAAACCCGATAATGCTTGATAGTTTTATACCATCGACAGATGTACTACCGTTGTGCTCCATTCGTCTGGTACCTCGATTAAAGGACTAGAACGGTAATATAATCATGTCTGTCCATGGTATAAGATGACATTTGTTCTACTGCTTCACGAGAAAATATATGTATGTCCATTGTATAAAATTTTCAAACCAAAATAAAATCAACAAACCTTGCCTAAGGGATAGCAAAGCTAGTGTTTCCGATTGATTTTCAAAAGGTTTTGTGGTAATTATATGATTTAATGAAAACAAAGAAGCAACATTTTCATAAGGTTTGTTCAGAAGATTGCAGGAGATTGTTTTAAAATAAGTTTTCATTCTTAAATATAATATAAAAAAATATAAAACTCATGATAAGTAGGATGGTTGTATATTTTTAAAACTTAATATCACATCATGTTTTAACTTTACCTAATACTTTAATACTCCATAATTACATAACTGTCTCAAACGAATTGAAAATCAAGCAAAGATGAAACGGATAAAAGATTATGGGAAGTCTGCTAGCACTACACGGCGAATGAGAACGACCCAAATTTGAGTTTAGTTCACTCATAATCGCCAAAAGTGCAGGAACTCAGCGATAAGTAAATTTGTCTCATGGTTTCCTGTGGAAAACCTAAAAAATCTGCCGGAAAATGAGAAAATTTACGAAAATTTTATTCAGTCTCGGAGTAGTACCAATAGACTGAGTGAATCCACTTTTAACTTTTCTCAAATTCGGGAATTTTCTCTGGAAAAACCTGGGAAAACATGAGACATATTTTACTCGATTCTGTGACACTACCCCGAATGTCACTACCCCGAACGCCATAACCCCGAACGCCATTACCCCGAATGCCACTACCCCGAATGTCCTACTACCCCGAATGGCCATTACCCCGAATGCCCTACTACCCCGAATGGCCATTACCCCGAAATTAAGACAAATGAAAGAACAGCAAGGGGTCAAAAGAAGGGTACATTTTTAGATGGAAATTTCGTTTTGGAATTTATATATATATATATTTATATATATATGTATATTATTAAATGATAATTTTTATTGGAATTTTGAAGCTTGCAAGCGAGCAAGCTTGTTTTACGCGAGAAGCCCGAGAGATGTCGTTACTGAGGTCCTATGTTTTGAGATACTATGTTTTCAAGAAAAACTTTTCAAAGTGTTATGTCTGTTGTCTGTGATTAAACTCTCTGATTAGTTTCACTTTACTAAATTGATGATACACTACGTTTGCTTTTATGGAACTATGTATTTATCAATTCCAAACCATTTTAAAGCAGTTTAGAAAATTACAACCTTCAAGTTTTCGAGCACTTCGTTCACCATTTAAAAAGTCAAAGGGTCTAATATGCAATCCAATTCAATATGCAATACCAGTCGGAAACTGTTAAACCTTATCAAAGAATTGTTCGACCTGAGTCTAGACCTGAGTTGAAGAATTTCTCGTTATGGATTGAAAAATCGGTGCATGGAACGTTGAACTATCGATTACAAATTTATAACATTATTCCACACGTTATTATCCCAAATGGTCATTACCCCGAATCCCTTGCCAAAAGCTATTGATTACATATTTTCCTTATATATTAAAAGAAGGGAATATTCCCTTCCCTTCTTTATCATACATCCAAAGAATAAATTATTTTCTTTTTATATATTCAAAGAAAGGAATATTCCCTTTTTTATCGTTCATCCAATAATTAATTATTTCCTTTTGTTATATTTTCAAAGAAGGAAATATTCCCTTCTTTATCATATATTTAACGAATTGATTATTTTCTCTTTTATATATTAAAAGAAGGGAATATTCCCTTCTTTATCGTATATCCAAAGAATTAATTATTTCCTATTGTTATATTTTCAAAGATGGGAAACCCCCTTGAGCCATTAAGGGGCTGTTCATTAACTACGTAGATTTTTTGGGATTCTTGACCCCCCCCCCCTTCCCCTGCGTAGACAAATTTCCATACAAAATTTTTAAAATTTGTATGGACCGTGCACAATTGCAGTGAGACAAATTTAACTCATCGCTGCGTTCCTGCACTTTTGGCGATTATGAGTGAACTAAACTCAAATTTGAGTCGTTCTCATTCGCCGTGCAGGCTACGTGCACTGCTGCCATCAACCCTGTTAGTATTGACTTAAATCTTCTGTGGCTTTTTAAATTGAACCGGTAAAATGCCTAGAATGGTCGGTTTTGTTTTATTTACTCAGTTTCAGATATTTATTCACCATTAAATACATCCAATCATCTATCTTAATGAGTCAATCTTCGCAATTGACCACTTTGTCAAGCAGTTTTGGCGTGACTTTCTACCAGCGATTTCACAGAACTGGACCAACTAATTTCTATATTTTTATGAAACGCACAAATTATGACTACTTTTCTCGAGGTTCTAGAAGAAAAAAATCTCAAAATAATGTTTTATTTCAAAGTTCGAGCGGTAGTAAACGTCATTTCAACAGCTCGAATGAAGTGGTTAATTGCTTGTTTTAATAAACTTAAATTCATTGCTAGAGGTAATACATCTGGCAACGCTTTTTCAATGATAGTTTTACGATTGCTGGCAAAGCAGTAAAGTTGAAGTGGTTTTCTTGGTGTTCAATTTTGTTCACCAAGAGTTTTGAGAAGCAGTTGTTTTAGGTTTTGCGTATTCAATGGTGTGTTATATTGTGCTATGCTTCGAAGAACACAAGTAAGTTAATGCAGTGAATATGTTTTACCCAAGAAGTTTTCGTTCTAAAATCATGAACTACAAGTGTTAAATTTGAACGGCGCCGGTGGTGTAGTGGTAAGCGTGATTACCTCTCACCCCAGCAGGCCTGGGTTCAATACCAGTCGGCGCCGCCTTGATGTTCTGAGGCATAACATCTCTGATCACGCCTTCCTTCGGATGGGAAGTAAAGCCGTTGGTCTCCGGTTCATGAGTTGATGGGTCGATAGGTAGGGTCCAGGTGTGGGAGCTGCCTTCCTGGCACGTCGGTAGCATTGGTGCTCAGCACGGAAAACAAGATCGACGAAAAAAACAAACCAAAGAAAAAAAAAAAGTGTTAAATTTTTGTATTAATATTATGTGAATGTATGTGTAAACCAATGATGATGATTGAAGAATATTTCAAAAAGAAGACGAACACAAATTTACTTACCCTTTGTAGAACCTTAATTTAAATTGAACACGATTTAAAGTATTTCAATGCAACATTACATTTGTTCACTGACAACTAACACATTTTTCAATATGCTATCTTAACTAATTTCTGGAAGCATTTACTGCCATTATACGCATAAGAGTCCCAAGGTGCATAAGGATTGCATAGAACATGGGACAGTTATGCGTAGAACGGCAGTTTACTTGTGTTGTATACTGCCGCTCTTCGCATGTCGGTCCCATAGTTGTTTTTGTCAAAACTGAGTTTTTCAATGCAAATGGTAGATAATCACACATATTTTCAGAATACTGGATGAGCTCAACAACTTTGTTATGAAAAAGTTTGGAAATACAGTCAAATTAGTTGTCCCATCACATAAGAAGCAATGGTACGAAGCAAACTTAAAACGCGATTTTCTCGGCTTAGTGATTTTCGCTATGCGACGGACATGCAAATAGCGGCAGTATACCAATAGTATAAATGTTCCGTCATATCGTATCTTCAAGTGATCTTCGCAAGCGGCACATTTCGTTCAGGCTCTTTGGTACTACATGAAATATGAAACGCACCTTTTAAAGTGAATTGCACATACACTCAAAATAATCTACACGTTGAAGCTACGTGAAAAATCACGTAAGTTCTCAGATTTTCCTCTCCTCTCAGTTTTATGTGGCTCACGTAGAATGTATGTGAAGACCCTTGAATTTCACATGGAGTTCCTTTTTAACACACCTACATAATCAATGAAATGTACGTGATTTTCACATAACACTGAGTCTATGTGCGTTTCACGTAAAGCTTGTGTGATTTCCACATCTAAAAAAAGAGTGGTACGTAGGTACACTCAGAGCGTTGCAAATCTTTGCGTCATCATGGTACCCTTTGTTCGGTATTTTTGAAAGATAGCGGCAAGATGTAAGTATAAAATTATGGATTATTTTTTTCTCTTTGACAAAAACAAACTGACCGTTTCATCGTGCTCAACAGAATGATTTCAAGCTGTCCAGCAGTTTCTTCCGCTAAGGAAAAAAGTACCTCGGCCCATCCCCATGATCATCCAGATTGTTTGTGCTTCGTATCGAATATTAAAGAAAAAATCTGATTTAGCGAATTTAGCATATATGAATAAATTAAAGGAATATTATTATATTTTATTATATGAATACGGTAAAGATTTAATCTACATATTGAGAAAATAATTGTATGAACAGTGTCAAAATATTGATTCTAGAATCCTCCAATGAGTATTACCGACCAAATCACGTAGCTTCTATTTGATAATCCTGTGATGGTTAAGCTTCATGAAATGAGTGCCACTACATGAGAATCACGTAGCTCTTATGTGAAAAGTACGATGGAAAAAATCTACGTTTGTTTCCACGTAGCATGGACGTGAACATTATTCTTAGTGTAACAATGTTCATCACTTACTCACACATAAAATCTGCCTCGACCAACCTGGCAGAACGCGCCCTAATGGGGTGTTTACATTTATGCCATTTCACTAGCGCTAATGAACTAGCAGCTAGCAAAAAAGCTCACTAGCATAATATAAACAGTGCATCAGCGTCTACCAGCATGAAATTTCAGGAGCAACTGAAATTCGTACTAGTTGCACACTAAGATTATTTCACCGAAATCTCAACTGCTGAACGTTCGGTAAACAGTTCGGTGATTTTTTAAAGATTTCCTGTAATTTTTCACCGAATATTTGTGAAAAATTACAGGAAATCTGTGAAAAATCACCGAACTGTTTACCTAACGTTCAGCAGGTGAGATTTCGGTAAAATTTCACAGATTTCGGTAAAATAATCTTAGTGTGTAACGAGTACACTAGCGCGAGTAAATCCGCACAGATGTAAACGTCGATTCTGTGACACTACCCCGAATGTCACTACCCCGAACGCCGTTACCCCGAAAGCTACTACCCCGAATGTCCTACTACCCCGAATGGCCATTACCCCGAATACCCTACTACCCCGAATGACCATAACCCCGAAATTAAGACAAACGGAAGAACAGCATGCGATTAAAAGGATAAGGATTGTGCTACATTTCCCCGAATGCCATATCCACGAAAAAAAAAAGTTAGGAATTTTTCAACCTTGGCAATTTTCTTACTATATATTGAGCATAGTGAGCAGATTGCAACCCACCTTAAATTTCAAA